TTTTGTGCTATTAGCAACCTGGAATAGAATTAGTTTCCGTGGTCAGGTTGAGGTTGTTGCAAACGGCTTGAACTTTTGGTCTGGCTGTTAGGCCACTTAGCTTCACGTTTTCTAGTACGATATTTCTGCATGGAACCCAGCTACTGCAATCGAAATTGATTGCTGCATTTGTAGCACTCGTGCCCCTTATGTTTCTGTATATTATGTTCTCTACTTGTACTGCTGATTTCTGCAAATTATATGTTTTCATAAAAGTAAAAAAATGGTTATGCCTATTGGATAAAATTTATTTTTCCTTTTCTCTCTAATTTAAAAGTATTTGCTGATTGGTTCGAGTTATTGATCCTAAAATTATGAGAGACATCTTTTGAAAATCTATATATATATATGGTTTGTATTTACTTGAAATAGAAACTAAATTTCCGCCTAAAAATTTTAAAATTACTAAACTTGGTTATCTTTTTTGAAAATTTTCAGAAAATCTCGCCTCTATAAATTAATTAATCAATTTATAACAAAATTAATGAATTCGGTTTTGGTATAAAGTGGCGATTTTGTTTAGGTATCTGATGATCATTTTTATTTTTGGTAGGAAAAGTGTTGTCATTAATAAATGTCCGAACTTATAGTATAAAATAGGCGATTTTATTTTGGTATGAAATGTCAGAATTTAAATGGTATGCAATTTATTTGGTATGGATATAAATGTATTTGAAAATTTTGAAAACAAAATAAGTGGTATAAATTTTATTTATTATGGGTATGAAAGTCGAATTTTAGGTTGATTTGTTATAAAATCTACACGGGCGTTTGAAAAAAAAATTAATTGTGCAACAAAAAATAAAATAATATTCTTATTGTGAAAGAAAAATTATAAGTAAATAACAATAAAGTCAAAGAATTGTAATATTATTTTAAATTCTAGAAAATATTTTGTATGAAATATTATATATTTTATTTAAGATATATTCATTTTTTTAAAAAATTAAATAGACTAATTAATTCATTATGCAGTTAATATAACGCTCGTGAACAACATGGGTGCATTAAAATAAAAATAAAATATTTTTATCAAAACAAATAAGTAAAAAAAATTATATTCTTATAATATAATGATAAAAAATTAAGTATAAATTAATAATTCAAAAATCAACAAAATTAATTATTTAAAATAATACCTATATTTTACACTCAGTTTGTTAAAATAATATTTTTTAATATTACACACACTCACCACACGCACACACACACACACACACACCGAAATATATATATATATATTTATATATATTATCTACAACTCACTAATTTTATTTTGAATTAATTTACATTTTTTCCAAGTTTGATTAATATTTTATACACATTTTTCTTCCCCCATCTATTAAACTTTATAATATCCAATAATTTAATATAACGTGTTTTTAAACTTCATGAAATATAATAATTTTTTTTATTATTTTTAATTATAACTAATATTATTTTTTATTTTTAAGATCATTATAATGATCAATCTCTTTGTAATGTTTATTTAAGTTGGGACAAATTTTAAAATATTTTTATTTATTTATTTTATTTTCATACTTAGTTTATAAATATTCTTTTCAAATAAAATAAATATTTTATAATCTGTTAATATAAATCAATTTCTATTGCTTCATAAGATAATTTTTAGTTTTTTTTATATTTTTTAATTTAGTTTGATCAATCAATTTAAATTTTATTTATAAGGATATATATCATTATTTTGTATTTTATATATGTAATATGAATATATATGTAATATGAATGTTAAATCGAAGATCATTAATAGATAATTAATTTTATATATCATATATAAAAAAACAAAATACAACAAAAAAGTTATAAAATTTAAAAAATAAGAAGACACATTTATGATAATTGGTGTATGAATTAAATAAGGAAAAGGAAATTTTACATATGGTAGTGTAAGAAAAAGAAACCTAAAATAGTTTATGCTGACTAATTATATAAGAAAAGAAGGAAGAGATCAATTGCAAATTTAATTGAATAATATAGATATTTAATGCAATCCAAACCTAATTATTATTTTATAAAAAATGCTAATTTTTATCCAAGTCTAGCTATGAAGCATGGTTTTTTGCCACATAGGATTTCGAAGCGTGGGAGAATGTCAGTTAGGCTCAACGCATTCTGGAATTATACATAGGGGGATGTGATATGATTTTCAAATTTTAGCATATTCCCATAATAACTTGCCATAAGATATTGATTATAACTCGACAAATTGGTATTATTCCTTTTGAAAATTAACTTTGAACAAATATTGGTTAATAAAATTTAAAATTTGTAATTTAATTCTAGAGAATTAGTTGATAAAGTTGAACGATAAGGTATCCGACAAAAAATCTAGAAAATTTACTGTGTTGTCCAAATTTGGTTCCAAATTTAAAAGTTAAATAAGTAATTATTCATAACTTACGGGTGAATATTAACTTGGACGTCAATGAAATGGTCAATTATTTATAGTTTGTTAAATTACTCAACTACTTAATTTTTTTTAATTTGTATAGCTTATACAAAAATAAATTTATTTTAATTAATGAAACAATATAATTTTTAAAATTCTATTTATTATTCACATATATTTTTAAATATATGATAAATTTTACTAAAATAATTATTTTTTAGAATCACATTGTAGTCAAATAAAAAATTTGAATAAAAATGTTAAAATTACACTTATTTTGAAATGAATATAACATAATTTATTATCAGTTAGGTGCTCCGTACGGGTTATTTACTAATCTTAAGTAGACATGTTTTATGTAGTTTTGCACAATTTAAATTTTATATAACCTTTTCAATAAATTAATATATGTAAATTGTATTACATATTGATTTCATATTTTTAATTTATAAATATTATTTAATTAGCATTTTTAATTTATAAACATTAATGAATATTTCTTACTCACGGGGTTTCTACTAGTTCTACTTTGAGAAGATTAGTAGTTTCTATCAGATTAAGCAGCACAACTGGAAGCATCAATATTTGCTTGAATCACACAACATACCTGCATTTGGCAATTTTTGTTTCCATCGCAATAGTTTTGATCTATGATTATGGGGTTGGACACATTCGTCATCATAATATTTTCGAACACTATGTTTTGTGCATAGCCACTTCCTCCCTGCACAAAATATGCATGTAATTATTATTTATACGTATGTATTATAATAAACCTTCATTTAACAATTGGAAGTATTTAATTCTGAAGAGACAGACACACTATCATATCAGCAAAACTTAATTAATAACGTCTATANNNTCTATATATATATATATATATATATATATATATATATATATATATATATATATATATTGGTGGATAAATAAATGTGTTTCGCTATGTATTCAATCCCACCCTACCGGCCAAGTCTTTATTCGTACTCCATACATGGTTCCTGTCAGCATTACTCCCGTCACATATATATTTGAAACGTAATTTGTTAAGTTATCTTCACCTAAACTTCCAATGCTGCCAAAATAAAGAAATTTAAAACATTAAATCTATGGGTTTTTACTCAAATTCATCCGTATGTTTATTCATAAAAAAAAATATCAAATATTATTTATACACTAGGAATTACATTGCCTCCAAAATTTACCTGATGCCATGTCCCGGCCCACACGATATATTGCTCAATTTAACATTAGTTGTTCCATTTACCATGGAGATACAGTCATCACCTAATCCAAACCAAAAAGCTCAATAATCATCACTAGACCATATAAGTTAGTAAGATTTATTTATGTTTTGTTTTGGTCAGAATTAGAAATATATACAGAATGACTTCCAAACTGATCATTGAACAGTAAAATTTTATTGCAGTTGGTGTTACCTGTTCCTATTACACAATCATGAACATTGACATCTGCTGTCCTTGTGAAGTGAAGTCCATCTGTGTTAGGACTACTTTCTGGTGCTACTACCATTAGATTTGAAGCCTCCACACCATTACAGTCTTGAAAATTCACATGCATTTGTTGTGCATTCATTGTCGTTAAATTGCTTACTTTAAGATTTGTGCAGTTCTCAAATGTCACAGCCTGTCAGGAAAAAGACAAAGACAAAAAGAATTTAGGATCCTGGGCAGAACATTCCTAAACACACAAGTAAGAAGAGAAAGGAAAAGGAACCTAGAAATGTACCGTTGGTGCACTTTCAGTTTGGCAAGGCTTCCACGTAAACAAAAAATTTGCATGTCAGTAACATATCCATAATTTTCTGCTGTAATAATGATCACGCAAAATTATTTTTTCCATCTGTATGTATACCTGAGATTTCTTGATTTTACATGAATTAGCCCACCACAATACCCCATCACCATCAATGGTTCCACCACCAAAAATCTCTAAGTTTGTTACATTCTCAAACTTTATCCAGAGTCGTCGTTGGGGGAACTTGTGCATTTCAGGAAAAGCTTTTATTGTTCCACGTATCTACAAATTAAAGAAAATAAGTATAGGTTATTGGTTGATTCTAAATATCTGATATTTTATTTCCCTGTAGAATGTAACTATGGAAGTTACATCTGCATGCAGAAACTTACCTCCATAGAAATGCTGCTTTGGCAGGGACCAGTAAAATTTATCTGCTTAATATAGTAAGTTTTTCGTTCGGGCACCAATATTTCTGCTGGCCTCGAAGAACAACAAGCTCTGTCCCAAGCATTCTTGAATGCCTGCAACATTTTTTTCTTTTTTTTTTAGTATAAAATATTAACTGATAAATTGTTGAAGTGAAAGTTACTCAGCTGGTTTTAAATACTTAAAAAACTCACTTCTATCCCGTTTTCAAGCCCAAAAAATGAGCACAGAGATGAAAAACATATATATTTATTATCAGGAAAATTTTGCTTCTCATAAATGTACCTGGAAATTATCTGCATTATTGTCGTCTGCTTTGGCTCCAAAGTCGTCGACATTGAGCACCAGTTGACCAGTAGATGATGAATTAAAATTGGGTGAATTGTGTGGAGATGATGAGTTAGAATTGTGTGGAGGTGATGAATTAGAATTGTGTGGAGGTGATGAATTAGAATTGGGTGTAGATGATGAATTAGAATTGTGTGCAGATGATGAATTAGAATTGGGTGTAGATGATGAATTAGAATTGTGTATAGATGATGAATTAGAATTGGGTGGAGGTGATGAATTAGAATTGTTTGCAGATGATGAATTAGAATTGGGTGTAGATGATGAATTAGAATTGGGTGTAGATGATGAATTAGAATTGTGTATAGATGATGAATTAGAATTGGGTGGAGGTGATGAATTAGAATTGTTTGCAGACGATGAATTAGAATTGGGTGTAGATGATGAATTAGAATTGTGTGCAGATGATGAATTAGAATTTTGTCCAAATGACGAATTTTTCCCTTGGCTACTTAGTGGAGGTTGTATCGGAACTTCGGCAGTTAAACTCATGTACCTGGGGTTTCTGCCGAAACAGGGGAAAAAGAAGCATAATAAAATGATGAAAACTGTAACGAATAATTTAGTTCCTAGCCTCATTTTTAATTCATAATAAAATGGAGGTGAAGGAAGTTTTCTTTATAGTTCTGTGAATTTGGAGCCAAGCACTTATAGAGAGTTAGATATAATTGTTTGTTGAATTTTGCCGCATATCTCATGATGATAGGCTGAAGTTGCATGTGTGTAGTATTTATAGAGGACAACATAATCTGAAAATGGCTGCTTTCAAGAATCAATATATTATTTCACTCTTTCTTTGAGACTTTTCTAATAGATTGGCCAACTATAGTGGGTTGTGGCGGGTAGTTGACTCTTAAGGAATATTTCAACTTAAAGGAAAATTAAGGAGGTTGGTTAATGAGGGTTAGTGCTTTGTTACCAATATACAAGCCAGAAATATTAGCGCATGTGTACATAATTTGCATCATAATATTATTTGCACGAAAGTGGGGNTATCTTGTGAAGAGTATTTGGGGTCAACTTGGAGGACTTGTTTGGGCTGCGAGTGACTGAAAGCTTGGGAAAATAGCAATGAAATAGTCAATAGCCTATTATCTTATGGACTTGGCCGCTTTAAAATCTTAAAATCGTGGTGACTTTTATTTGTGTAAGAAAATGGCATTTGAATGTGCCGATATGGGATTCGAAACAAACTGCAAAATAGTTACTTGACCTTGCTAGACAACATAATTTGTGTTCATTATATACATGCAAAGATGAAATAATTCGACTGTTTTTGGATTGTTTTTTCTTCTATTTCTCATGTTTAAAGCAGATTCCAAAGTTTAGAGGCATGTCATAATAGTAATGATGGGGAAATGAAATAACTCCTCTTGGGAGTTTCAGCTAATTACTACAACGAGAAAAAAAATTGAAGATTACACACTTTGTTTGACATTTGGTTCCATTTTACATTATTCTCCTCTATAGGCAATAATCATTTTAAAAAATCACATGGTATAAAATTATTTCGTAGTATGTGTGGAAGCGAATATTTTTGTATTTATGAGTGGCTGCAATTGGCTTGAAACTAGAGTAGCCCAATTTTTTAATTTTATTTCTCGAACTTCAATCATCGAAAAAGTCGAATTATAAAAATAACAAAATAAAAAAATCAATAAAAACATAAAGGAATTTCGAGATAGCCGTGCCATGATATAGCATCCGAGATAGCTCGGTGAACCGGCTTAGACGGTTAGTTCGGGTACGACTGGTACAGAAGAGCTTCAGCTCGACGTCATTGCTTGACCTCGACAGGGAGCTCGGTTCAGTAGCTCAGAGTACGAGTCGACCTGAATGAATGAATGAGGACCCGAACTCCTTATGGAGCTCGGGCAGATGAGGAGTCGATATGACCTTGAAATCGTATGGGCGAAGGTCGTAGTTTGACCTGGTAAGGGCCTGTGGTGGTAGGTCACGGGGTCGCTATGACGACCTAAGGACCTAGGAGTCGTGGCAGGAAAAGGAAACGAATCCTGGTAAGGATGACAAGTGTATAGAGCTTAAGATCTTAGAGACATGTCACGCTAGGATCTCTTTCCTAGTAATGAGGCTACTTGGACAGGAAGATAACCTCCATATAAAAGGAGGTCACTAGGTTCTATTTTAACTTAACACATATTACACTCTATCATACAATTTTATCTATTCACGAGAGAGACCTGATTTGAGCGTCAGAAGTTTCCCGTCGAGACCCCTCGTCGGCATGTTTTGCAGGTCATTGTAGCTTAAGGCAGAAGGCGTTCGTGGTCGTGCTGGTCTAAGCACGGTCTAAAGGCAATATGCGTATCATTTGAGCTAATTACTACAACAAGAAAAAAATGAAGATTACAAACACGTTGTTTGACATTTGGTTCCGTCTTACATTATTCTCCTTTCTAGGCAGTAATCATTTTAAAAATCACATGATATAAAATTATATAAGTTATTTCGTAATATGTGTGGTGAGTATAACATTATACAAACTTTTGTATTTATGAATGGTTGTAATTGGCTTGAAACTAGAGTAGCTCAATTTTTAAATTTTATTTCTCTGAATTTCAATCAATCAAACAAATCAAATTATATATAAAAAAACAATTAGTGAAAACTAGAAGGAACTTCGTCTTGTAGTGACAATGACAATTTTAGAAGTTTTTTAACCTCGCTAAGAACTTGACTTCAAGTAGCAATGGCAATTTCTCAAAACTTTATTAGTCCCACCATGATATAGCACCCGTGATAGCTTGGTGAACCGGCCTAGACGGTTAGCTCGGGTACGACCGGTTCAGAAGAGCTTCAACTCGACGCTAGGGCTTGATCTCGACATGGAGCTCGATTCAGTAGTCCAGGGTACGAGTCGACCTGAATGTTGAGCTCCTCATGGAGCTGAAGCGGATGAGTCAGTACGACCATGAAATTGTATGGGCGAAGGTCGTAGTTTCATTGTGGTGGATTGGTCACGGGGTCGCTATGATGTCCTAAGGGCCTAGGAGCCGTGGCAAGAATATAAGTTGAATCCTGATAAGGATGATAAGTGTATCTCGCCAAGGAGGCTAAGGTCTTAGAGACATGTCATGCTACGATCTCTTTCTTAGTAATGATGCTACTTGGATAGGAAGATAACCTCGATATAAAAGGTGGTCGCTAAGTTCTATTTAAATTAACGCCTATTGCGCCCTATCATACAGTTTTATCATATTCATGAAAGACCTGACCTGAGCGTCACAAGTTTTCCGTCGGGACCCCTCCTCTGCATGTTTTGCAGGTCACTGTAGCTTAAGGCGGAAGGCGGGTTAGTGGTCGTGTCGGTCTAAGCTCGGTCTGAAGGCAAATTGCGTATCATTTGAGCTAATTACTACAACAAGAAAAAAAAAAAATGAAGGTTACAAACACGTTGTTTGACATTTGGTTTCATCTTACATTATTTTCCTTTATAGGTAGTAATCATTTTCTAAAAATCACATGATATAAAGTTATTTAAGTTATTTTGTAATATGTGTGGTGACTAACATTAAACGGATTTTTATATTTATGAATGGTTGTAATTGGTTTGAAATTAGAGTAGCTCATTTTTATGTTTTATTTCTCAAAACTTCAATCGATCGAACAAGTCCAATTATATATAAAAAGAATTGGTGAAAACTAGAAGGAACTCCGACTTCTAGTGACAACGGCAATTTTAGAAAAAATTTTATCCTCGCCAATAACATTGACTTCAAGTGACAATGACGATTTCAAACATTTTTTAGTCCCACCATGATACAGCACCCGTGATAGCTTGGTGAACCGACCTAGACAGTTAGCTCGGGTACGACCTGTTCACGAGAGCTTCAACTCGATGCCAGGGTTTGATCTCGACATAGAGCTTGGTTTAATAGTCCACGGTACGAGTTGACCTGAATGTCGAGCTCCTCATGAAGCTCAAGCGGATGAGGAGTCGGTACGACCTTGAAATCGTATGGGAGAAGTCGTAGTTTCAATTTGGTAAGGGCTTGTGGCAGATAGGTCACAGGGTCGCTATGACAACCAAATGACCTAGGAGCCGTGGCAGAAAAATGAACCGAATCCTGCTAAGGATGACAAGTGTATCTCGCCAAGGAGCTTAAAATCTTAGAGACATGTCATGCTAGGATCTCTTTCCTGGTAATGAGGCTACTTGGGCAGAAAAATAACCTCCATATGACTTTTGAACGTTTCACATGGCCAACATCATGATCAGTTTCAACAACGGCCCTCTTACGTGACACATCTAGATAAAACCAAAATGATTTGAACGCACTTAAAAAAATAAAACTGTAAAGCAGTAAACGAACGACATCACCATCGAAATACAACATCATTAATATTATACCGAGCATCACCCATGTATTAGAAAGAAGAAAACGAGCCCATACAAAATATAATTACTATACAAAGAACACCAATGATAACAAACATGAAAATGTGTAAATTGTGTATTCACATTCCCGAGCATGGTCACCTTTATCAGACACGCCACTCTGTTGAACTGAAGGCAAGCTCGCACGACATCGAGAAGCTGTGGAA